GGATTGGGCCTGAGGGAAGGCATGGAATCCAGGATGACCATGCTTTGGAGACTGAGGGAAAGTAGAAAGAGTGTATCTATCATCTGGCAATATTCTCAGGTGCAATATTAGCAAGCTGTCCATAATGGTTTAAACAAGGAGTTATTTTTCTCATATAAAGAAAAGTTAGAGGAAAGTGGGGGCTGGTGTCAGTTTGACAACTCATCAGCATCAGAGCCAAAGTATCTGCCATCTTCTTGGCAGTAGGGCCAGCCATTTTGACTTTGTCTAAGGCCAGCCAATGATTGCTCTGGTGGTGTAGTGCCTAAGGCACTTGACTGCTAAACAGAAGGCTGGTGGTTCAAACTCACCAGCCACTCCTCAGAAGGAAGACTGGGCAATCTACTTCCATAGAGATACCGGCTCAGAAACTCAAGGAGGGGTTGCTATGAGTTGGAACCGACACCATGGCAGTGAGTTTTTTTTTTTTTTTAAGGCCAGCTGATAGAGAAAATGTGAGAGGAGGTGGCAGTGTAGTGAGTGTGGGCGGTGCCCCACCTAGACCACTCTTCAGGCCTGATGCCCTAGCCCTACTTGCTTGAGATAGAAGTTGCCACTGATGAGTTGCACCCTCTCTGGGAAAGACCCAAAGCCACTGACTGGTTGATGAGGGAAAAAAAGTCTCCATCTACCCTTGACTTAAGATAAGACAATGCCGAAGTTCCTTCTGGCTCTGGATCTCCCTGTGGGATCGCTTGAGGCCTCAGGGGCAACATCATTGTGGGTCAGCTTCTCTTCTCTGCACAACCTCGCCTCTTTCACATTATAGGCAAGTGTCCCAAGAGTCCTCCTCAGTGAACCTCCTGCACACATACACAAATTTCAGTCTCAGAGTCTGTCCCCAGGACTCTTAATCTAAGATATCCAGCTATGTCCAATCCCTTTCAAGCAAAGCAAAAGCCTTTCCAAATACCCTTCTCCTACCTCACCCTGGAGCAGACCTCTACTTATCTCTCACTGGGCAGAATTGAGCCCTAGGTACAAGAGAGACCATTGCTGCTCTCAACAATAACAGGATTGTGTTATCAGAAGGGAAGCCAGAAGTGGACATTGGGTGACACTGTCTGTCACAGTTTTAGAAACTTTAAACTTATTTTATCAACTTGTAGCTAATACTGAAATGGAACAAGAGCATGGGAGCATGACTCCAGGATGATTAATGTTACTGGGACAATATTCTACATATTTTGATAAACTGTGCTTTTTTTTTTTTTTCTGGTTTCTATACTTTGAGAGCTTCTCTATGGTTAAAGGTCCAGAAGAGGTAGAAACTGTGGAAAAGCACTGGAGTTGGAGTTTACAAGACCTTGATCTAAGTCTTGATTGCTCTACAGTCTGGATGTGAAATCTGGAACATTTTCCTCCTCTGTAAAGTGATGCCTCTGAGTGGCCTGATGCACGTCTGTATGTCTGTGAATGTACAAGCAAGGTAGGGTTATGGCAGAGTGAGGCTGGGGAGCTGGCAAAAGAGAGGTGCAGGCTGGGAAAATACTGGAGATCCAGGAAAGGTCTGGACAGCAGAGAAAGAGACTGCAGCAGATGAGGCAAGAAAGTGAAGGAAGGGCAGAGAGACCCTCCAACATGCTCACATTCTTCCAGAAGGGATGTGGCCAAAGACTCTAGAGCAGGAGTGGAAGGTCATAACTTGATTAGTGGGAGACTATAATGTGGGGCAGAACCTCTGGGTATCAGTGTGTGGCCAAAGAGAGGGGGCAGAGCTGGGAATGTGGCTGCTGCAGCACTCCAAGGTAGCACAACCCTCAGTGTGGGCTGATTGAAAAATCCATCAGTATGCTTCTTGGCCATCCCTGGCAGGTAAATTAGCATATAAGGAGCATTTATGTGAGGCTTTGACTACTCACCCAAGGGCTTTGCCACTAATTTCAACACTCCTTTTCTCTTAAAAAACAAGAAAACATGCAAGCGGAAGATAAAGAGGTTACAAGCCCTCTTCAGACTTGTACAGTGGGAGATGAGGAGTTTACAATCCCTTTCCAGGCAGATGCAGAAATAAACCCCAAAGCAATAAGCCTCTATGCAGGGGTAATGCAGCATCACCATGGAAATGCCTCCCCCTCCCTACCCCAGGCAAGGATGTTGTTGTTGTTAGGTGCTGTCAAGTCAGCTCTGACTCATAGTGACCCCATGCACAATAGAACAAAACACTGCCCGGTCCTGTGCCAGCCTCGCAATTCTTGCTGCACCTGGGCCCATCGTTGCAGCCTCTGTGTCAATTCATTTCATTGAGGGCCTTCCCCTTCTTTGCTGACCCTCTGCTTTACCGAGCATGATATCCTTCTCCAGGGAATGGTCCCTTCTGACAACATGACCAAAGTAGGTGAGTTTAAGTGCATTCCAGCTGCACTTATTCCAGGGTAGATGTGTTTGTTCTTCTGGCAGTCCATGGTACTTTTAGAATTCTTTGCCAACACCAAAACTCAAAAGCATCAACTTTTCTTCGGTCTTCCTTGTTCGTTGTCCAGCTCTCACATGCATATGAGGTGATCAGAAATACCACGGTTTGGGTTAGGTGCACATTAGTCTTCAAGGAGGCAAAGATAACCAAAGCCAAAAACCAAACCCATTGCCCTGAGTCCATTCTGATTCATAGCAACCCTGTACAACTGCCCCATAAGGTTTCAAAGGCTGTAAATCCTTAAAAAGTAGACTGCCACATCTTCTTCCCACAGAGGAGGCAGCTAATGGATTCAAACTGCCCACCTGTCAGTTAGCAGCCTAGCCCTTTAAGCACTGCACCATTTGGACTCCTGCAAGCAGGAGGCAAACTTGGCCTCATCTGGTGTTCTGGTCTAGAAGCAAGGCCAGGGTGGGTGGGCATCTGCCTTTGGGTGACTTCGGTTGCCAACTCTTAACCTGTCAAGGGGTGCCTTTGGTGAAATTGCTGACAGGACCTATGAAATTGTGGCCAAATTCTAACCCCTAACAACGTGAAAGCAATCAATCCACTACTTTGTACTGTACAAACAACGTTTATTTGGATGCCACTACTCAGTAAATATTGAACAGTAATCATCCATACAGCTGCCAGGCAATAAAAAGATGCTAAATGGGAGCTTTTCAAGATAGCAGGGTGATTAGAGAGTGAGCAGTAAACAGCAATGAAGCCAGAGTTCTCTCTTAGGTGACACGCTATACCCCCACTGCCACCCCAGGAGCAGAACACAATGGATGCAGACCTGTGTGCCTTACAATTATTAAAGGCAAGGCCTTTTCACATAATAATTTATTTCACTTCAAAATGACAGCAGGCATAGGCATCTCAGGGCTGTGCCCTACTCTACCTGGGTCGGGAGATGTAACGCAGAGATGACCAGGGGCTGCAGCTCCTCCATAGTGGAGGGCCAGCCTAACTGGAACACTGAGTGGAACTCAAAAAGCGTAGCTTCCTATTGAAAAACATTTGAGATCAAGCACCGTGATTCTATGTTTCTGTATGAACAACTCTATAGTCTTTTCTTTGAGAATGGTCCAAAAGTGCAAATGTGGAGATCTGTGTGAGGCTGAATGGCTGAGGGCTCTCGAGCTCCACCCAAGTCATCACCCCTGTTTCCCCAGAGGCCATAGTGGGTGAAGTAACATTTAAGCTGTTGGATGCAAGGAGAACAGGTGACACAGAAGAGGGCAGTTTCTGGGACAGCCATCTTTTCACTTCCTACTGAGATAATTCACATCAACATTTTCCTTTTGCATGGTTGTAACAGGAGCCCAGAGGAGAATTCTTGGATGTAATGTCCCCATCTCCTTCACCAAGGGTCTTTTTTGAAGGACAAGGTAGCTTCCTTGGGGGTTAGGTCTTGGACGCCTGGCACAGGGGCACTGCAGCTGTATGACTTTCTGAGCAACCTGATGTAGGAAGAATCAGGCTACTCCTTCCACACTCCCTGCCTCCCCTTCTGTCCCCCTCCCCCATGCCTTACCAACCAGTTTCAACTCCATGAGTGTCACAGTAGAACTGTGCCTCACAGGGTTTTCAGTGGCTGATTTTTCAGCAGTAGATCACCAGGTCTTTCTTCCTTCTGAGGCACCTTTGGCTGGACTTGAACCTCCAGTAACTGCACCAGCCAGAGACTCCCCCCAAGCTTTACTTTATAACAATTCTGTGTAGTCAATCATTTATCTTCCCCACAAAACTACCCTCAAATTTGATTCTAAGCAGCTAGATGTTCTTTGGATTCCAGTGCTGGAAGGAAAGGGAAGGGGAAGAGAAGGGAGATGGCAGCGTGGCTTGTCTGTGTCAGCTTCCTTGGTGGGGATTGCAGGGGTCACAGGAGAGCGGGTTTGCACTGTTGCTCCACAGCAGGTGCTGAACCATGTGCAGGAACCAAGTCTGTGGATCAGCATTAGACCTGAAGCTTTCAATAACTGACTGTTCCTCTAAACCTACCATACAGTTTAGAGATGTGCTGCTGTAGAAGCAAGCCCAGGGTGGGTGCGCATCTGCCTTTGGGTCACCCCAAAGTCGCCAACTCTTAACCTGTCAAGGGGAGCCTTTGGTGAAATTGCTGATAGGATTTATGAAATTGTGGCCAAATTCTAACCCCTAACAACATGAAAGCAATCAATCCACTACTTTGTACTGTATTTTGCTGAGGCAAAATCCCTAAACAGATGTGTGATGATATTGGAACTAAGTGGATTGTTAATGGTAAGGGCTGTGGATATTAGTTTTCTAGAGTTATGTTCATTGGCAGCTAATTCCAAGAGACAGGCAAAAGAAAATAACAGCTTTTTCATATTCAACGTAATGAATTAAAATGTCCATACAGATATGCCAAAGTATAATTTTATCACTCAGTCTGAAAGGATGGTCTGTTGATCCCACTGATGTTTTAGTTGATCTTCTGTTTATCATCCAGAAGGAAAAGATTGAAAACTATTTTGGGGTCCAATGCTCCAGGTTTTTAAGAGCTCTCCCCGCTCCAGCATTGCTTCCTGATTCTTCAGTGGTAATAGATGCTGAAGGCATGAAGAATGTAGAGCAGGGTGGTGACAAAGGCAAAGAACTGGAAGAAGATGGGGAAATTGTGTGTTAGAAATGGCCAGCCCGGCTCCTGCCCACACTCTTCCAAGGGCCAGCAGCCCCAGTAGCCTATGAGGCCTGGTATTCTGACCCTACTGGATCTCCTCTCTGCCCCATGCCCTGCCCAGCCTGGGCGCAGCAACCACTGCCCAGCCTCATCTTTCTTGACTTCTCAAAAACTGATGGGCCAACTACTCCATCATCCTTGAAACTCTCCTTTCTAGAGCTCAGGGTTATTTGTTCCATGTGAGGCAACATGCTTCAGCAATGACAGATTTAAATGTTCTTGTCCATCAGTAGCAAAGCGCACTCACCGAGGCTGCAGTGTTTATGTAGTAGTTTTTGAGGTCCTGGCTCTCAGAAACAATGGTGGCGTGTGCTTGCAAGACAGCGGCGCTCATGTACAGGATGCCAGTGGTCCCGTGGTACAGGCTGTCCTGGAAACACAGAACAGAAGCCATGGCCACAGGGACTGGGCCACTTAAGCAGCTGAGCACTTTTCTTTCTGACTATACAACTGGGAGGAGTAATACAAAAAGACAGGCTCCACTCCCTAAACTCCTATTTCTATTTGCAATATTTCTATTGGAAATAACTATGTAGCGAGCAATAGGGTAATTGATAAATAGGGATAATATAAATTCTAGTCAACATTTGGTGGCATAGTGCTTAAGCCATTTGACTGCTAACCAGAAGGCTGGTGGTTCAAACCCACCAGCCACTCCTCAGAAGGAAGACTGGGCAATCTACTTCCGTAGAGATACCACCTCAGAAATCTAAGGAAGTGTTGCTATGAGTCAGGACCGACTTTACGGCAGTGAGGTTATTTTGTTTGTTTATTTGTTTATTCCATGCTGAGCTTTATGCTAAGCCTTTTCTCATTTCATTTAACCTTGTCAACTATGAGGTAGGTACAGCTTATCATTAGCCCCGTTTTGAGGAAATTGAAGATCAAAGTTAAGATTGATGAATAAATATCTAAGCTAGGATTTGAATCCAGGCCACATTAACTCCAAACTTATGTTCTTGGTTATTAACATTCTGAAGACCTATTCTGTGTTGGGCATTGTGCTGAATAATAAACATGCATTGTCTCATTTAACGTTCATAGTCAATCACATGAGGTGGCTACCCCCAACTCACAGATGGGGGAGCTCTGGCGGTGTAGACTGCTAACCAGAAGGCTAATGGTTCAAACCCACCAGCCACTCCTCAGAAGGAAGGTTGGGCAATCTACTTCCGTAGTGATACTGCCTCGGAAACCTAAGGGGTCGCTATGATTTGGATCCTCAGAAATCCAAGGAGGGGTCGCTATGAGTCAGATCTGACTTGACGGCAGTGAATTTGGTTTGGAACTCACAGATGAGGCCATTGATTCTTAGCTAACACATGGTAAGTTTGGTAGAGTCTAGCTAATTTGCTTCCGTAAAGATTTACAGCCTTGGAAACCCAATAGGGGTCACTATGAGTCAGAATCAACCTGATGGCAGTGTTTGAGAGTTTTTTTCAATTTATGCTAAACCTTTAGCAATACTCTTTGACTCAACAAAAATATTCTGGAGCCATTAAAAGCAGTTATCAGTCTAGAAGGAATGTTATAATTGGCAAATATGCATTTTGGAACCCGAAAAGGAATATTTGAGGAAACATCATCAGTGGATGAAAGTATTAGAGAAAAAGTTGAGGGGGTCAGGCTGTTACCCCTGAGAGGACAGTCAGTCACCATGTGTGACGTGGCATCTGTTTTTAATGGCTGCACCATATTTTTGTTGAGTTGAAGAGTACTGCTAAAGGTTTAGCATAAACTAAAAAAAAAAAAAAAAAAAACCTCCCAAACTCACTGCCATCAGGTTGATTCTGACTCATGGCAACCCCTATTGGGTTTCCAAGGAGGTAAATCTTTACAGAAGCAGATTAGCTTGACTCTACCAACCTTACCGTGTGTTAGCTAAGAATCAATGTCCTCATCTGTGAGTTGGGGGTAGTATTATAGGCATCTCATGTGATTGGCTATAAACATTAAATGAGACAACATGTGTTTATTTTTCAGCACAATGCCCAACACAGCCTTCTGGTTAGCAGTCAAATGCCTTAGGCACTATGCCACCAGAACTTCCTAAAAGTAATAAAAAATAAAATTATATAGCTGTATATATAAATCAAGGAACTTTTGTAGCACAGTTCAGCTGCTAATTAAAAGGTCAGCAATCTGAGCCCATGAGCTGCTCCGAGGGAGAAAGATGAGCAGTCTGCTTCCATAAAGATTTACAGCCTTGGAAACCCTATGAGACAGCTCTACTTTGTCCTATAAGGTTGCCGTGAGTTGGAATCAACTTGATGGCAGTTGATATAGATATTGCATAAAATTCACATGGAATATGCAAAAATGATAGTGGTGGTGATAGGGCCTAGAGACTGGGGTGACTTTTCTTCTACTAGAAATTCCTTCAGTGTTGATCCAACGGTTTTACCATAAGTAAAATTCAAAGGAAACAGGTCCGAATGTGCTTGATTACAGGGCAGTGTGTCTATCCATACAAAGGCAGCATTGGAAGAGAATATAAGGAAATATTTGCTCTGGCAGAGGAACACTTTAATTTGGTTGAATATTAAACACATTAGAGTAAAAAGTCTTGGTCCCTTATGAGCTTAGCCCTGGAAGGGTCTCTGCTCCCCAGTCTTTGTTCTCCTTCCCCACCCAGAAGGGCCTATTGTCCTCACTACCCTAAGACATTGGTCCAGGAGCCCCCTCTGGTTCTTACCAGGACTCTCCAGGAGTCATATTTTTTGTAAAATCCAAACAAGTAAGACAATAGGAACATCAGGGAGATGAGGAATGAGGTGAGCGAGACGTACATCACCCATCCTTGCAGCAGTGGGTTTGCTACCTGGGTGGCGGCTACCAGGATCCAAACCCAGCACCCAAATATCTGTAAGATAAAAACATAAAAGGAGAGACTGTATTACTTGCGAGGAGCATGTTTCCTTTTGCAGGGCATCTTTTTTTTCTCCTCTGTCTCTGGCTAAAAGCACTTCAGATGAAGTTAGGAGGGAACCAAGAGGGAAATGGGAAGAAAACTTGCCCAATGAGTCACAGCCAAGTCAGGTCCCATTGTGGGAAAATTATGTCCTTGGGTGGCACAAATGGTTTTATGTTGGCTACCAACCAAAAGGTTGGAGGTTCAAACCCACTTAGTGACGCTGCAGAAGAAAAGCCTGGTGATCTGCTTTCATAAAGATTCCAGCAAAAAGTCCCTGTAGAGTTCAGGTCTCCTCTGTAACACATGGGGGATCACCGTGGATCAGAACCAACTAGACCAGTAACTTTTTTGCTGTTGTTAGAAAATTCAAGGGGTAACAGAGGTTGAAAGCAGAGGGACTCTAGACTAAATTTACCCACAGAATTTATTCTTGGCTGTATTCACATGTTCAAACAGTATTCACATGTTCAAACAGTATTCACATATACAGTTATTATTACTATTACTATTATTATTAATATACCCTTCATCCAGATAAATATTTGTCTCTACCTATCAACTGTGCTCCCATGTACAGTTTTTTTAAAATATTTCCAAATAAATTGCTAACATTTAAAACAGGATATTTCATATGAAAGACTTTTCTTGAGAAATCCATAGTTCTGGCCACAGTGAACCTACTTCCCAGGCAACAGTAGGTGGGAATGAATTGTAACAGTCCTTTTAGAAAGGGCCTGGAGCCCTAAGTAGACCACATCCCCCAGCCTTCTCAACCCCTTTCCATCATGGCGTGTTTACTGTTGCTCACTTATGCTGTGGGATCCTACTTCCCTTTTCCCGACTCCCTTCACCCATCGACAGTGCCTGCCTGGCCCTGTAGGCCTTTGGTTTGGAGCTACTGGGTTATAGTATCTGGCCTCAGTTGATGACTCCAGCTGGAATCTGACCCCGCTGAGCACTATGGTTCCAGTTTAATCACCTCTCAACTGTGTGCAGCTACTTATTGTCTCTTGTTGGAGAAACCAAACATTTGTCTTGTTCTGTCTCTTGGCTCTGACTTTGTCTGCTTTTGCACCCATGTTGGTGAGCCCAGGGGAGGAAATGAATGTCCAGCACATGGCACGTCCAGTAAGAGCCCTGGAGGAAGAGGCCTGACACTAGCACCATGTGGTTTTGCTGTTTGTCTCAGACTTTCTGAACCCCTCTTTCCTGGAGCCTCCTTAGGATGTTATCACAGGTTTCCTCAGTTTCTCCCTCTCCTCACTCCTGTTAAACCTGGGCTTTTAATAAGGACTACATTACTGATGGAGCTCTGATGGAGCTCTGGTAGCATAGTGCCTAAGGCACTTGACTGCTAATCAGAAGGCTGGTAGTTCAAACCCACCAGCTACTCCTCGGAAGGAAGGTTGGGCAATCTACCTCCGTAATGATAGATACTGCCTCAGAAACCCAAGGAGGGGTTACTATGAGTTGGGTCCAACAACAAATAACAACAACAACAAACATTATTGATCTTAGACACCCACCTCCAGTCCATTTCTATCTCTGGCCTTCAGACCACACACCTACTTGTCACTGGATATTTCTAGTTGATGTTCCTCAGTACGTGCACAACTCTGACAGTGACTGTCAAATGGAATATTGTACCTTAGGCACCCCACTTGCCTCACCCTAGTCCTGGCCCTGCCCCTCGAATTCCTCAAATTCAATAGGTACAAAATCTAGTCTATGAATGTATGTGTCTTCTTGGCCCAAACAGTGTTGGCATATAGTCATCATCAATTCCCAATCTCATCAGAACCCACATGCCTCAGAACCTGCTGAGCAAGGACCCAACTGGGAGAGAGAAGGTTATGGCATTGGGAATGGGTATACAGGGGTCTCCAACAATAATGTTCTATTTCCTGTGCCACAGAATGGGTACACAGGAGTTTATCCCTTATAAAGTAATGAAATAGTTTTGAAAAAGAAAAAGAACCTGTTGGGCTTTTAAATCACTGCAGATTTGGGATGCTAGGGATGGCTTCTGGGTTTGTTGTTTGGAGGCAACACACTATCAGATTTTACAACTTTCTGTAAATCTGCAATAATCAAGAAAGTTGCCAGTGGAGATGATTCACTTCTGAGCAGTGCTGTCAAGGACAAACCATTCCTCAGAGTTCTCCCCATCTCAAGAGATAGTCCAGTTCTCTTCCCTACACACCAATGTTAGAATCAGCTTGTCAAAATCAGAATTGTGTTAAATCTATAAATCAACTGGGGAGAACTGACATCTTTATTATGTTGAGCCTTCCAATCCATGGACATGGTATCTCCCTTCAGTTATCAAGATTATTTTTATCAATGTTTTGTAGTTTTGAACACCTGGATCCTGTACACATTTAGTTATATTTTACATCAACATACTTCATTTCAGAGGAGCTATTACAAATAGCTTTTTCAAAATTTTATTTTCTAATTCTTCATTAGAAGATTGAAATGTGATGTGATGTGATGTGTGTGTTGACTTTGTATCCTGTAACTTGCTAAACTTACTTATTAGTGTAAGGAGTATTTTTATTTATTTATTGGTAGATTCCTTGGGATTTTCTACATATCTCACTAGATTTTAATTTTAATTTTCATGACTGCTAATGAGATTGAGTTTATTTTCATAGATTTACTGTTGTTGTTGTTGTTGTTATGTGCCGTCGAGTCGGACCCGACTCATAGCGACCCCTCCTTGGGTTTCTGAGGCAGTATCACTTCAGAAGTTGATTGCCACATCTTCCCTCCGAGGAGTGGCTGATGGGTTTGAATCACCAGCCTTCTGGTTAGCAGTCAAGTGCCTTAGGCACTATGCTACCAGAGTTCCCATAGATTTACTAGCCATACATATTTCTTCTCTGTGAAACCTTTTATTGGTTACAAAATCTTTATAGATTTGTCATTTTCTTACTGATTTGTAGGAATTTTTTCCTAATAATCTGGATCTCATGAACTGTTACAAATATTGCAAATATCTTCTGCTAGCATGTGGCTCACACATTTTATGGTGTCTTTTGATGAACTGAGTTCTTAATTTTAACATAGTTGAATATATCATTCTTTTTGTCATTTTTGTCAAGTTTAATGAATCTTTCCCTACCTCGAGTCATGAAAATATTCTTGCATCTCAGAATTTCCTTCTGGGATCATTAATTTCTTCTGAAATATAATTTTTAGAAGTTTCTTTAGTGAAGGTCATTTGGTAGTAGTCAGTTTCATTTGAGGAGGGAGGAGTTGAATGGTTGGAGCTGCTGTCCTCTAGCTCCCAGAACTGGGCTCTTACATGACGAGCCCAGTGATCTTGGTTGCTGAGGCTGCAAGCAGGTGCCAGGGCTTAGCTGGTGGGCCCTTGCCAAGTGTTCCCTGCCAAGCCAAGGGAAGTACGTAAAAATACTGGCACAAGGTAAGCACCCAAACAATGCTACCTATTAGTAGCAGTGGCATTCAGGATTTCATGACTGTACCCACACTTGTAAAATATTAGACTCACATTGGACCTCTGAGGACAGAGCCTGGGACTGTGCCATTCACCCAGCATAGGTCCTGGGACACAGCAGTGGGGAAGGGACTAAATGAACATATAAATGTTTTAATAAATCTATAATAATACCACAAGCACCTCACATTTACCAGATGCTTCCCAGTTATAAAATTGCTTCACTTAGTCCATAAAACACTTCTAACTCCCTCCAGACTTCTAAGACCAGAGAGCTGCCACTTGACACCTGCTGCTGCTTACAGTTACCTCATCTGTGCCAGGACCAGAGGCAGGTCAAAGGTGCCTCAGCCGAACCCAGCCTCTGCCAATGCTTGCAAAGGGGTTCCTTCCACCTCCTGCCATCAGAGACTGCTCTGGTCAGACACAGTCATACACACATTATATGAATTTTCTTGTTTATTTCTCACCACAATCTGGTACCAGTATTGTTGTTAGTTGATTCTGACCATTGCAATCCCATGTGTACATGGTAGAACTGCACTCTGTATGATTTTTAAAAAATTTTTATTGTGATTTGGATGAAAGTTTACAGAGCAAATTCATTTTCCATACAGCAGTTCATACACATTTTATTTCATGACATTGACTACAATTCCTCACAATGTAACAACTCTCTTCCCACCTCCTCCCTGTAGTTACCTCTTCTCCATGTCCTTCCCTCCCATGCACTCTTGGCCCCGGTGCAAACACTGCCCTTCTATTCTCTCATGATTGATTGATCACTCCAAGGAGTATCTACCTGGCGTAAATGACCATCGTCCCAGGCACACAGGTTCAGCTATTGGCTCCCTCAGCATAGCTGGCTGTGGCCAAGAAGTCACCACAATCTTGCCCCTCTCAGCTCTACTATACACCAGGACATTCTTACAGCATATACAAATATGCATGTGGAAATATTGTCTGCTAATCCTACACATGGTTGTGGGTGTACTCTTCCCTGCCTCAACATACCTGATCATTCCGCCTGCCCACCCATCTATCCACCTACAGATCAATGTTTGCCATCACTGACAACATAGTACTGTAGGTATAAAAGAGTTCATCTTTGTTGTCTGTACCTCCCTGTACCTCTCTGTGTCTTCCTCTTCTTCAATGTCACTGTGTTGATCATTCACTTTTGGTACATTGCCCTTCCCTTCACCCAAATCAATACTTGTCTCTACCTATATAACTCCATAGGATTTTCAAGGCTGTGACCTTTCAGGAGCAGATTGCCAGGACTTTCTTTCAAGGCACCTCTGCATGGGCTCAAAACGCCAGCCTTTTGATTAATAGTCAAATGCTTAACCATTTGCACCACCCAGGGAACCTTATATTAGCTCATTTTAGACTCAAGGAGCCTGAGACCTGAGGCCACACAGGCAGTCTCCAGTGAGGCCCAGGCATGAACCAGGTTTCACACTTCAAGGGCAGGCCCAGGTAG